AGATTTCTTGTAGTAATTATAGAGTTTTAATATTTTAGTCAGAAGCACTATAAGTCTGTCCATTTTAAGACACCCCCCCTATGGCTAGGATGAGGGATTCACAATCAAAGGGAACTGATTTTGGTATCTCTCTCCTGCATATTTGATTAGCTTTTCAAATGTAAAAAAAATTAAGAGGGTTTATTTTCTAATCTTAGCATCCAAACAAGTTTCTATCTTGTTTCTTAAAATTCCAACTTTTGCTGCATAGTGTCACAGATCCACTGCCTGCATAATTCTGATCTGTCATAGAAGCTGGTTACCTTTTGCAAGACCTTCACTATTAAATGCTGGTTTGATGACGTTACAAGTTCTTTTTTTGAACCATCAATAACCAGATCAATAACCATTGACAAAAATCAATGGAAATTTGTACATCTGAATGCAGTTCTGTCCTCAATTGCTTGGGGGGGGGGAAATGGAATACACTTTTAGCTTACAAAAGAAAAGCTTACAAATAAAAGTTGAAAACTAGCATAGAAATGAATCTTAATAATAAAACTATTTCCTATTTTAACAATTTATTTCTACAAGTTCTTTATGTATTGTCTTTAAAGTCAAATTCCATTGTATTCTCACATTTTTCTATTCTATATCTCTAATATATTTGTTTATGGCTGACTTCTAAGTTCCTATAGTCTTAATCCTGTATATCTTGATGGTTGCTCTCCTTAGAGCTGTGCATCTTTTTCTGCAATTTGTTCCTTTATCTTTTTTTAGTTTCTGTCTCCTATTTCTGTTCTGCCAAAGTCTTGACTTTTTCTTTGCCTTTTTTTGTTTGTTTATGCCTGGACATCTTTTACATCTTCTCCCTTTCCCAATCTTTATGCCATCTGAGGAAAATGGCTTGAAGAACTTCTCTGTTACACCTGTCTCTTTCTAGTTTTCTTAGCTGCTATCTCCTTTCTGGTTGCCTCTTCTCCTCAGAACTGCCTTTCTCTTAGTTTGTCTCTTTTCTTTGACTCCTGGGCTTGGGTACTATTTATTCAGCCACTTCCTCACAAGTCCTGTGGTGGAACAACTCTCAGGTAGCCATCTAACCTCCTGTCCACATCTCCTCATGCTGCTTTTTGGTTGGCAGCTACTGTTTGATTGATAGCTTGGTTGTCCAGGAGAGGGACAAGAAGAGAGGGTAGTAAGGAGCACAAGTACTTATAAAGTGCTTAAGTGGTCTGTCCTTCCACAGATGCATATTTCTTGACTGTTGGTTACTTTATTGTAATAATAATAATAATAATAATAATAATAATAATAATAATAATAATAATAATAATAATAATAATAATAATAATAATAATAATAATAAAAATAATAATAATAATGTTGGAAGGGACCTTGGAGGTCATCTAGTCCAACCCCCTGCTCAGGCAGGAAACCCTATACCATTTCAGACAAATGGCTGTCCAGTCTCTTCTTAAAAACTTCCAGTGTTGGAGCATTCACCGCTTCTGGCGGCAGGTTGTTCCACTGGAAGCTGTTTCAGGCATTGCAGTCATCACAAAAATTAGAGAACCATGCTGGGCACATCCATTGATACTGTAACTCCAAAAAGCATGTTAGAAAAATGATGTAGGAAATTACCTTAAACTATGTTACATCCTGGCTATGTAGCTCAGTAGTGGCTTTTCAAATACTGCTGAACTGAGTCTGTTGGGACTCGTAGTTTTGCCTTATCTGGAGGGCCATAGATATTCTACTTCTACTTTGCAGACTGATTGGTAGTGATTCTCTAGAATGTCACATATGAGCATATTCAGTTCCTAAATGGAGATGGACCTGGAGTCTTTTACATTCAAAGCATTACAGCTAGTCTGTATAGCAAGAAGATGTACCACATTTCCTTATAGAAGTCAGCTATGGCTAGAGCATTTGAAGTCAGTGCAGTTTGCTTCTTTCTGAGTAGGTCCCCTTAGAATTGTATTGTGAGCTCATTGGGACACAATGGGAGCAACATTGATAAAACTGAATATGAATCATGTGAGGAAAATAATATGTTTTGAGCTTTTCTAATGAAAGTGATGGAGAAGGTGGTAGAGAACCTGCTAGGGGACTATATAGAAAATGGATTGCCAAAATCCTTTTAAATCAGGATTCAGGTTTAATCATGGTATACAAACAACTGTGGTCAATCAGGTAGATGGTCTTCATCAAAACTTGAATGGTCCCAGTAAGATTTGTGGTTCAGCACTATCCCCACAGCTCCATCTTGAGTTTGGAATACATAATCAAGCTACCTCAAGGGTAAATGAGTTCATGTCAAGCACACACAACAACCAGGATACATAAAATAGCATTAAGATCTGCACTTATTAGGGGCAACCTTCTTAAACATGATAAAAAACCCATATGCCATAAGAGGAGTGTGACCCTCCTGGTCCTGTTCTTTGTGGCATTCACTACCCAAAACCATGTTATTCTTCTGTACTGCCAACAAGAATTAAGGATTTGAGATTTTATAGTGTTGGGCAGATCCAGTTGGTGGTGCTGTGAGAGAAACACTTGAGCATTTTGAATTCTACTAGGGTTCTCCTCTATGCTATTTAATATTTACATGAAACTATGGGGAGACCTCCGTATATACCTCCTATGGGGAGACCTCCTTTTCAGATGTATGTGTAGTTTGTACCCTCCTTATAATTCAATTGCAGGTGAAAATACCCTTTTTCCATGAGATACCATGGCAATTAAAAATGATTGAAATGACACCATTTATAGTATTTAGTCATATTTATATAGATTTCATTTTCTGCTGTTTGTTTTCTGGATTGGGTTTGAAATGTTAATAGATAGCTACATTCATCTAATTCAGTCCTGTGAGGAAAGAAGCTGGAAGTAGCACCATTCAAACTTAATAAAAGAGAACCAGTGCACAGACAATAAGCAAAGAATGTTGAACTGATTGATGCACAAATCCTGACATAGTCCATGTTTCAACTTTGCATTTTTATGCCAAGTGGGGTGGTTTAAAAATGGCCAGGTGGAGTATTTTAATAGAATAGAAGAATAGAATAGAATCTGGACATGTACTTAAAAAAAAACCCCACCCCTTTCATGTCTATGGAGATTCTCAGTCTTCCAGGTCATGGTTTATCTTGAAGACGTTTCCTTTCTCATCCAAGAGTTCTGAAGAACTGAACTGGATGAGAAGCAAAACATCTTCAAGGAAAAACAAAGAAAGTCTAATTACTTCCTGAAAAAGCACTTTTGGGACACCTCTTTCTTCACTGCTTTTCATCACCTTAAATTGTTTATTTAACACTTACACAGAATACTGAATCTTCCAACCAGCAGTTGGCCCGTTGTCTAAAATATGAGAAAACAAACGCCCCTGCCAAATTGTTTGGAAGGGCTGTAACTTGGAATAAAATATGGTCTTGGCATAAGGTAATCTTGTATGGAATGAGTAGCTGGGCACACAGTGATGCTTCTTCCTTAGGGCTGAGTTAACATGTTTTCTATCAATCCTTGAGGCTGCAGAAAACTATACAGGCATAAAAGTGACTCCCTCCATTGGAAATTGCTATCCTGCCACTGGAATAATACCAGCAAAACTGGCTGTCCTTATTTATTGTATACAGGTTATGTTATATACTGTACAGGGATTGTGGACTCCTCCAGATTTGTTTTCCTTTCCCTCCTATCCAGATATCATTAGTTGGAAGAAACACACATCCATCATTCTGATTAGTGTGGGGAAAAGAATAGGCCTGCATCAGCCTGAACATTGTCTTAGGCCAGGGGTAGGCAACCTTGGCTCTTTTATGACTTGTGGACTTCAATACCCAGAATTCCTGAATCAGCCATGCTGGCTCAGGAATTCTGGGAGTTGAAGTCCATGAGTCATAAAAGAGCCAAGGTTGCCTACCCCTGTCTTAAGGGAAGGGCTGGGGATGAGATGGAGACTATTTCATGAGAACATAGTGAAGAAAGAATTTAATAAAGTATTTTTTGGAAACAGATATAATGTTAATTCAAATATGTGGCTGCTTTTTCCCGTGCCTGTAGTCTTAAATGAAAGATAGAGGAAAAATGAATGAATGAATGAATGAATGAATTAGTTTGCAGGAACTTTCTCCCAACCTGACCAACTGATCATATGCACCCTACACAGATTCTACAAATGTCTTTTAACCATAGATCTATAAAACAAAATTTGGGAGGGCTGAATGCTGGCCTTTGAGCACTGTGCCAGGGGATACGTTGAGAAAATATCCACATATCCATGCAGGGTTTTTGGCAACCTCACATAAATGGTTCCCCATGGCCTACTTCTAGCAGACATTTTTTGACTGTCTCCCATCTAAAAAATAATGATGACTGACCTTGCTTAACTTCTAAACCCAGACAAGCTAAGCCAGATGATGCCGCTTGCTGAGACTCTAATTTTAACATAAAGTAAATGAAATCCAATAAATGAAATATGGCCAGCATTGTTACTTGCCATTTATCTATCAAATTTCCCTTTCTGTAGGAATTTCAATTCAATGGCACCTTTAGAAGGATTCTGGGGGCTGCACTTACAGTTCTGTGTTGTTGTATGAGATCCTGTGACTTTAGCCTATAGACTGAGATCCATCTAAAAAATCTAAAAGGAAAATGAACTTTAAAAAAAAACAAGCCTTCTGCTTGAAGGTGGAAAATATTTTAGAGACTAGTGGTCTCTAGGCATGTGAAGACTGTAAATCCCAGAATCTCCCAGTCAGGAAGAGCTCCACATTCTGTATGGAAAGTTATGGAAAACTGTATGTCCCCACTCCTTAGGCGGAATGTATATCAAGATTAAAACAGGGCACTGTTTTGTGTGTGGTTGTGTGTGCGCCTGTGCATAGAAAAAGTCACCAAAACAGAATTAATTAAGATTCAGACAAGCTCAGAATTGCTTCTATTGTTACTATGATCAGACTTTATTCCATAAAAAGCAAAATATTAAAATCATTCCTTAAAATCACTCTTAATTTAATTTATAAAAGTCCCTTCCTTTTGATCATCCTGCCTACAGCAGTTTGTACTTCCTTGTTCCTTATGCTATAGATCAGTGGGTTTAACATGGGGATCACCACTGTATAAAACACAGAAAACATCTTGCCTTGGTCTGGTAGAAAACTATGGCTGGGTCGCACATATATAAAGAAGAGGGTGACAAACAAGATGGAAACAGCAGTGAGGTGGGTGGAACAGGTGGAGAAAGCCTTCCGCTGGCCCTCCACAGATCGGATCCTTAGGATGGCACAAACAATATAGATGTAAGAGATAATAATAAAAATGCTGCTGAGCGTGCCAAGAGTGAAGGACATGATAAAAAGCACCATCTTGTTGATTTGTGTCTCAGAGCAGGAGAGGGATATCACAGCAGGGATATCACAGAAGAAATGATTGATCTTGGATTTGCAGAAAGTTAATTGGAAGGTCATAACTGTATGTGTCATGGCATTTAATAGTCCAGCAAAACAAGGTGGAACTAAGAGTAATAGACAGGTTTTCCTAGACATAATAACCGTATAAAGCAATGGATTAGAAATAGCTACATACCGATCATATGCCATGGAAGTTAGGAGATAACATTCAGCAGCCACGAAGAAGGCAAAAAACCACATTTGTGCTGCACATTCCCTTAAGGAAATGGTTTTGCTTTCTATTACAAA